ATACACTTTAATTTGGTATAAATTTTATTATTGATGTTATTTAAAATCACAGTGTTATCCTCCGAAAAAGTATTTTTACGCACTCTATACGTGGTTCATAACATATTATAAAAATAATTTATCATTCAAATTATAAAAAAAACTCACAGTTTTGAATATCACAACAATACATAATTCAGTAAAATAAACGATATTTAAAGTTAAAATAATTGTTTGACAACAAACTGCATCGATATGATTTCGTCAAATATTCAAAGGTAAAACGTTTATCTTCGTAAGTAAATTTACAACAGTTTGAAAATTATCTTTGAAAGAATAGGCATTTGTAATAAAAATAGATCCAGAATATATAGATATGCGTTTTTGTTTTTGAGAAACTCGAAAAGAAAATAACATTGGCGGATTTGACAAAAATAATTTCTGACCTAGAGTATGTATAGAAAAATAAAGGGAAAAATTTTGTAAGTTTTTTTATTCTGATTGTTATAAAGTTTATGGCGTAGGTCGTTTTGGTTTCATTTTTTCAATTTTTTCTTCTAATTTTTGAATTTCTTTATCCTTTGCACGAATAACTTTTTCACAGCGTTTTAATTTTCCACGTAAAACTTCAATTTCTTCATCTTTAACTTTTAAAACATCATCAAAAGCAACCGCATATGGATTCATCATCCTTTCATTTCGAGAATGAGGTCCATATCCAGGTGCAAAAGTAGTCCGTCGTGGCGTACGTGATGTTACTAATAATTGTGGTAAACGATGCCGTTCAACATTAAATGAACGCCATGTTTCCCATTGTAAACGTGATTTTCTTCCTGTACGAATTAAATGTTCTTCAATTTTTTCACGTAAATGAAGAAGAAATAATTCAACAGCACGATTATCTCCAGTTGTTATATCATATACAAGAGTACCAGGTGCATGTAAACTTATTTTAGGTAGGACATCAGAATTTAATAAACGCCAATTTTTAGCACGTTGTGACATATTTCGAGCGACTTGAAACGTTTCTAATTCAACATATTCAGGAAAAAAATAAGCGACTATTTCAGCGATTAATATTCCATCAGCAAAGTCTACTTCTAAATTATGTACTGATCGAGATAAAGGAATCGTATCGAGCCATGCTAATATATCATATTGAGTAGTTTGTTGATAATGAGGTAAATGTTTTTGTCTATTCATGACGAAATCAACACTTGTTTCTGACATGTCAAATTTAAGAAGAAAATTTATTTTATAAATCACTTAAGTCACTAAAAAAAATGAAAAAGAAATATAATATTAACAATGTTTCGAAAATCAAAAAAAATAATTTAAATATGGTTTATCACACAAAAAAAAATAGAAAAATGCTCACAATGTCTATAATGACATGTGAGAGATTTGAAATTTAATTCTGTACATAAAAACTGTATTATTTGAATGTCAAAAGCAAGAAAAATAAATGCACGATTAATCTAGAACAATTTTTCTTCTGAAAAATGTTTGCCATAGAGAATAAACAATCATAAAATCAAATCTTCTCAACATTATGACAGCTCATGATTTCTAAATTTTAAATATTAAATGTTTTTTTTTTTCAATGTTAGAAGAAAAAACAATCTCATTCATCTAATTATTGTTTTATTAAAAAAAGAAAATAACGAAGAAAAACATAACTGTTTCTCCAAGGACACATAATCAATCAATTTTAGAAAAAAAACGTTTCTCATATAACTTTCTTTTCTATTTGAAAATAGAAATAAATTCTTTTATTTTCTTTTTCATTTAAAAAGCTCTTGAAAATGTTTAATTTATGGTTGGTTTATTCAGTTAGCAACGTCTCATCTCGTCACTATGTATTGTCTCTTATTGCACGACGGATGAAATTCGTCTGTTTTCAATTGTTGTTTAATCAAACAGAATCGAATAAAAAAAAACTGGCAACAATAAGGCCTCGAGAAAAAGAATTACGAATATAAAAAAAAAACGAATAAAAACATCATCAACTCTTGAATTTATCAATAGATTTACATGTTGATAAATGGAAACATTTATACATATTTACATTAATATTATCTATTGTATTTACAAATAATAATTAAAATTAAAAAAAAATTCAATATTTTTAATTAATAGTTTTGAAACTTTTTATTTGAAAAATATTAATTATTTATATATAACATTTTGAATATGAATAACTATTTCAGTCAATTAGATACACTAGAGGCGAAATCGTTACCATGAATATACACATGTCTTGGAAATTCCGTTTCGTACAACTATTGATATTTTTCTTTCATCTAGATTATTTCAACACTTAAAACGTACTCATTGTTGTAAATAACGAAAAAAAAAAAAGAATGATCTTTTAGATAAATATCATCGTCACAGTTGACACAAAAATTCAGTTGAGTTTGCAAAACGTGAATTCATTTTTAAAAAATTTTCATCAAAAAAAATCTATAATAGATAATAAAACTTAATAAATAAGGTAAACTAATCGATGTTGACAAGAATCAACAAAATAAAGTCATATTAAACACCATGAATAATAATTTTAATGTTTTACCTGAACTGTTGATTACAGTTACTTCCCTTAGATCTTTACGTCATCCTTATTTTTACAAAACGCCCACATCAACTTCTTGCTCGTCTCAATAAATATTTAAAAAAAATACATTTTTTCAAAAACTTTCGTCAATTATTTAATGTGTTTATGTCTTCGAGCTAAAAAAAATATATGTTAGAAAAAAGGGATCTATAAACAAACAGTTTATTTACATTTATTTAACTATTGAATTTTTACTAATCATTCAACGTTTCTATGGCTAAAAAATAAAAAATAATATTGTCAAAATATATTATCTTTCAACACAAAATAAATAAAATCAACTTATTATTGCTTATAATATAGAAAAAATATATCTTTATTATTAAGTAAATTTTAAAATACAATTAAATCATATCAACCATGAATCATTCTTTTTGTCATTTATGCACTTACAATATCTTTTAATAAAGAATTACAAAACGTTATTTCAATCTGAACTCAATTTTGTACTCACCTGCTACATCATCTATCACTTTTGTTTGAAGTAATATGATGATCAATTGAGAATAAATGCCAATCTCAGTCATTGCTTTATATATCTGTCCACTTTCATAGTTTCTTATTCAGTTTTGCTCCAAATGACTGACAACCATAAAGCATCAGTCTTTCTCTAAGGTTATTTTTTTTCTAAAAAATTTTCTTTTTACCATTTCAGTTACTCGAAGCAGAAGGAGCCTTTTATGGTTCATAAAATAAATAGTGTATTTTGTTGGTATAAGGCAACATGAGAACACAAACATAAAAATTTATATTTCACACTTGAAAGTTGTTAATGTTTCATTTTTGTGGTATCACTCTTGAAAATTTTTGCTTCTACCTCTATATTATTCTGTTGTATGTACATTTCTAGAAAACGAAATGTCTAATCGGTTCGATGATAATTCAATCTGAAACTATGCAAGTGAACAAAACTATTGAGAAAATACAGAGATTACTATTTATTCTAGGTTATTAGTTAATTCTGTTATGAAAGTTTTTTTTAGTTATGTACTATATACGGTTGACTAAAGCAATCAGTTATTAATTGAAATAATAATCAATGGTTTATACTTGCCTTGAATTGCATCTTCTGTTTATGTTTATGATTGATATTACACTATGGATTACGCGTGTTTAATGGCAACTATTAAAATATCATTTATTGAAACTATCCCTAAAATTTCTTTCAGAGTATGTCTAATTATTGCATAAGAAAATAGTTTAGAAAACGTAGAGAAATATCACACACAGAATTCATAGTAGTTTACTCTTGCATTCGATAAAAATATTTAACGATTCTCTACTGAATTTTGTGTCCATCAAAATAATTTTAATTCTAGCATATTTCGTTACAAATGTGCCTAGTCATTAATACCAAAATCTTCAAAGAATATATTGAAGTTGGATGAGACTGAACAAGACTTGACACTCACACTCACATTCTCGAAAAATTTTATTGTATTTTCTTACATTTATAGCGAAAAGTAAGAATCGTAAACAATATTATCTCTGTATAATGGAATACATGATGCGATTTCATAGATAGTTAAACAGAGAATATGCTGATGAAAAGGTGTCTCTATAAAACTATAGTAAAATAACAGCGTAAAAGCTTTATATACATAATGCACACATTTGGGTAACCTTACATTTTTTTTAAAAATGTTTTGAAAATAGTTGGCCTTGTTTAGACATTACAAAATTTAAATGGCAAGAAGTTGTACAATAAGAACAAACAACTTTAAAAATAAAACGCAGTTAGTTATTTTAAGATCATTTCTACAAATAGTGACACCCTTCTCTACTTGTGAATGGCTTCTTCAATTTGAAACTTATTTTATAGATCTTTTTTTGTATTGAAATGTAAAAAGAAACGTTCATCGATTTACAACACAGATTACATTTACCTATTTTTATAAAATATCTCCGTAGAATGTTTTCATATCATTAATTTGTTCATTTTATAGCAATATATCTTTATAAAAAAAAACTCATATATATAATGACCAATATATCTATACAAAATATACATTAAGACTTTCAGTAATAAGTTTCTCTTATTGAAATATTTTCTTGTTTCTATATAGTGGACTAATTTTGTTCAACACAGTCTACAAGGAGTGTTGAAGTATATTAGGTAGAAATTTGCATTATCCACAGACTATGACGAACACCTCTGCAACGCCCCTCATCCTTTACATCAGAGCCTGACAGATGTTATTGCATTTCTCGAGGACTAAGTAAAATAGTGATGAAGACATGTGTTCCGGAATCGATAGAATAAAATAATCTTTCTCTGATTAGCGACAACAAATAGATAATGTTTCACATTCAATTCTATATCAGAAATTCTTTTCTTGATGATTATTAGAATATTATACATTAGATTAAATGGATTTATCGAATAAAATAACATAGTCAATTCCATTCACTTTGAACCATTTTCTAAAAATAATTAAAAAAAAAAACAGGAAAATTCGATTGATTTAGAGAAAATGAAAAAATGTAGCATACTATTACGATAATAATGATGATCAAATTTTGACAAATAATGATGATATTGTTTAGGATGAGACAGAAATGGACGAAAATGATGATTGGATGATAAATCAATGTTATTCGTATGTCGATCATAACTAAACCGAATAGATCTGAGATTATTTTTCTTTTTTCGTCTATTTGGTTTTCTTAATCTTTCTTTAATTATGTGACTTTGATGACGGTAATACATAACGAGATCACGAGCATAACGAAAAGTTAATTCAGCATATTCAACATCGTCGAATACTAGAAAAGAATCTAGTTTCATAATAGATCTTTTTGAAAAATAAAATTCTTCTACTATCAGCTACTTCAGGTAAATCAAAATTAGCTAAAATTAAAAAAAAAAAGCTTATTTTGCTGTATATTTTATATATAAATGTTTAATATTAACCTTTCATTTGGTTAATAAATGAATCAGGAATGAATTTGCTTTGATCAATTTGTTGTTTATATCTTCGTCGTTGATATTCATTATCATCAGGAATAACAACAACAGCTCGTCGATAGAATCCATCAAATAATGACATTTTACGACGACGATTATTCCCATATACATTTGTCTAAATTTTTACATTAAAAAAAATCATATTAAATAAAGTCAAACTTGATCAATAATAAAATTTCGTTTTCGACATGCAGCTATATCAAACATTATTCGAAGACATTGTATTGCTCGATCAATCATTTCATGAGAACCGTCACAATTATCAATCTATAGAAATATAAAGAATTTTTAAGTCTTCTTTTTTCTTTATTGTTTAATATTTACTTTCATTTGCTGAATGATATTATTTGTACTGAGTAGAATATATTTTTTATCTGTATTAATTGCACAATGTCTTTCAACCCAAAATGATTTTCCAGCTCCTGGTAAACCTACCATCATAATAACCTATGTAGAATATGAATTAATAAATAGATAAAATAAAAAATGAAAAGATTATCTACTTCGCATTCTTCTTTACTCGATGGACCTAATGTACCTCGAATTCGATCATCTTCTTCATAATCATTTATAAAACAAAAACCTGGTCGAAGAGAATATTTCTGAAAAATATCTTTTTTTAAAATTTTGACAATAAATATGAAACTATTTCAAACTGTATTTAATTGACCAAAGTTAACTTGATATGAAATATTTTTAATGAATATATGTGGAAAAAGTGGACGTGAATGAAAATCTTCAGAATTAATACGATATGCTAATTCAAAATTCAAATCATTTTTAGCAAAAGATAATAAAACATTGCCACGTTCACTTTCAAAATCCTTTTATAAACAACAAAAATTATTTATAAGAAAAAAATAAATTTATCTATAATGATTAACTGCATAACATGTTATTATATCACCAACTGTATATTGTTCGCCATACCATTCAAATTGATTTCCTGTCCAAATTTTTCCTGTTCCTTCATATCCAAAAGATAGTAATTCATCACCTATTTACCATCAAAAAACCAATCACTACATCAGTACAAGTACAAATATTAGCACCTCTCTGGTTTTGAATGAACAGTTGCAAGTTACACCGTCGCTAAGTGCGTCGTGTTATCAAGAATACACGACTTCAACAAATTAGCTGCATAATCTGCGCTCTCCTCCTCAAAGCAAGAGAAGAGATACACGTACCAATACCCAACGAAAATAAGAAGGACGCTAGTGTTCTGATTTGACCTTTATTTTGTATCAGCCATATCTAGACTAATATTTTCATCAAGAAGAACAAACATTTATAGTTTTTCTATGCACGAATCAAAATTTGCTATTCATTAACTGTTTCATGCGCCTCATAAATACGAACTACTCTTATTAGATATTTGTTGTTGGTTCTCTATTAATTTCAAACTCTGTAATTTTTTCTTCTAAAAAGCTAATTTTTTTCAAACTAATAAAATTTTTCACTCTTCGTTGAAGCCTCGTATATTGTTCGCGTTTCAATACTCAATCAATGAATACGTTTTTGTAACAACAAAACTTAATCCATAATATATATATATATATTCCATTTTTGTGACTTTAAAGCTATTTGGGAATCGTTGAAATATGTTCAATGGATAGAAGACACTCGAAGCCATATATAAAGAAGAAGAAAAAATCAAAAACAAAAAATCTCAAAATATTATGTCAGAAAAGAGAGCATTCTCTTCAGTAATATTTGCACTTAATATCGATACTAAGTGCAAGGAGACTGAAGTAAAATGTATGAAAAGTATCAAGTATTGTACTAGATATTCAGTCAGTGCAAAAAGTAGGCTAAATAAAAAAGTGTAAGTTCATAGAAAAGAAAAACAATACCGAGAGATAATTTACTCTCATTGGTTGACCAACCAACTCGAATCCCAAATGGAATTTCGTTATACAATAAATCAGAAGAATGCAGATAACGAAGAATCTAAAGAAAATAAAAACGAATTAGTTCACTTCAGTTATGATTTAAGTGAATACTTTTATTTGAAAAGCTACACGTCCATGATTGATTCCATAAGTTGCTCGTATTCCTGACCATAGCGAACATAATCCATTCTCAATCATTGGTTCACCACGAAGACAACCATGTTTAACAATCATTGTTAAATCACAATTATAAACATCTAATATGACATCGTTACGTAATGGATGCCAATCATCAGCTTCGTAATTTAATTTTTTCTTTTCATATTTATTATCGAATGAAGGTCGTTGATCATCAATACTGAAAGAATTCCCATACTATTATCAGAAAAACAAAAGAAATACTTACTTGACAGACATGTTTATGATATTTTAGTGAATGAAAAATATGGCGAACAACTATCTATCAATTCTGAGCGCCAATAAAACAAATTATTTTCATATAGTAATAATTTTGTTTTTGAAATAATAGTACCGACTGTCAATAATTAATAATTGTTTTGATAGAAAATTGATTATGAATCTTTCTCCTGATCAATTTATTAATTTATTTATTTTTATATTAAAAAAAAACTAAAGAAAAACTAAATTTAATAGTTGTCTATCAATAATAATTGCGGAAATCATCCTTTGAAGTTGTATTGAATATTCACATATGCGGTTATTCAATATATATTATACTACAATTTTCATCAAATATTGATATCATTTCATTTCATTTCTTCATACTTTTTCACACACAAACGCCAAACGCATAATAGACGTTATTAAACACTGTCTTATTATAGTATTATGAAGCTTGGCAATCCCAAAAAACAAGTGAAACCGAGAACCATAACGGAATCAGAGTTTTTCAGTTTCTCTTACTCGAAACTGAATATTATTTGCTCATACCTGTGGAATTGTTCAAATGTTGCATCATCTAAACTCGAAGAGATCAATCTAAGACTGCACCAGCGATAAACTATGTGTATCTCTTATAATTGAACAGACAAAGAAGTTTAAAATAGCTAAAACTATGATAAAGGTCTCTGAAAAAGTTTAATATCGTCAATAAATCACTTCTTCAGAGCGAGCATGCTTAGATACTCTAATGTGCACTCCCCAATTCACTATGATTTTGAGTCATGTCTCTATTAAAAGTTAGATTTTTGACATAAAAAACAATTGTTGTTGCCTAAAAAACAGATGTGCATGTGAATCTTTGCTTTCCCCATCCTCACACGTGACTTTGGCATTTCTATGAACTGTCAGTCTCTAAATGCATGCAGACGCATGTTTTCAAATTGACTGCAATTGTAAAGAACTCTAATAAATGCATGTGAATATTTTATTTAATGCGAAACTGCGTTAAAACGTAATCAGTGAAATATCTAAAAACAATTCTAAAAAGGCACGAGAAGTTCATTGAATGTAATCATACTGATTGAATCCTTTGAGTCTCAAATGATATCTGCTGAATAGAGTTGAAGCAGCTCATTATATCAAATTATCTAGATACAGAAACACGGATGATACAAATATTTAGTGCGTGCAAATGTAATTTATACTCAATATAAGGTTTTAAGTAAACTTGATCACATATGAATACGAAATTTAAGAAATATTCGAGAAAATGTTAGAATTTTTTTCGTAAATGGCTACATATCTTTTTAATAGGTTATACGAGAGAAATCTACAACATTCTCTTTGAAGAATTTTGATTTTTTTATAATAGAAAGAACGTCTACCCATGAATTCATTGATTCTCGATAGCTTTATTCCAAGAGGTTATCTATCAATTTTTATAAATCATGCTGTAGAAAACTAATTATAAAACATGTGCAGCATTGTGCCTATTATAGAACTCAAAGGATTAAAATTAACATTATGTTTAAGTGCCTTTAAAACAGTTCCACCAATTACATATCATGGGTAGTTTTAATATCTGATACTTCCATCACTGTTGAGATGGTTTATACTAGTATACACCATTCATTAGAATACTTAGATAAATATTTTGCTGAATATAAAAGTGTTTGAAACTCAAGAAAAGCACGCGTGCAAAAGCTGCTTACGAGGGAACAACTTTAACTAATTCCGAGCTTTCAGCTTTATCTTTTGGCCATACATGAGCCTCAGTGAGACTAACAAAAGCCTCGAATCGTTCGTGTTTTTGGCTCTTACTTCCGGGTATGAGAGTGGATCTGAGTCTGCGTGTGTTTGAGTGGAGGATATGTGGGTGCGCAGGTGTGGATGTAAATATTTGTGTACGGTATAAATGGGAAGGTGTCTACTCTTACCTCATACACCCGCGGAGACCCACACCCACATCTGAGAGAAAGTTGAAGAAAATTTCGTTTATGGTACGATGTGTTTCGATTTTGGGATACAAGTTTCATATTTGCCTGATTATCTTGATAAGTTTCTGCAGAAAGATCAGCAGAATTGACCAGAACTACGGCAAAAATATGTAGTAGTAGTCGGATGAATAAGGAGACTGAAATTATCGATCTCGTTTGCCTAATTATTATATTTACAGTGATATTACACGACGAAAGCATTCGGTGTTTTTGTTGTTTTCTATTTACAATATTCTTTCTCTCAATAGTTGTTTTCAAGATTTTTTGTTTCGTAATGTGAACACTTGACTATGTCAAAATTTCTGGTTTTTATTATATTTTTCTGAAGTTGCCTAGTTCGAAATTCATATTTTCACAGCTTTGACCGCTGAACTTTGAACTTTCCATCATATAAAATGAAGTCTTCAATTCGTCATCATGTTTTCTAAAATATTAGTCTGGATAGGATCTTGTGTCGTCTTTAACCATTCTTTATTTGGAGTTGGCTGCGCACATGATTCCATAAAATTGATGTGTAATTGTACAAAGATGAAACCATCTTGTACATAAGTATTGGTATTGGCGCGAAGTATGTCAACAAGACAAAATTGTGTTATTTGAAACGAAACATTTGCATTGCTTGCAGGTCTATTAAAGATCACTTTTCGAGAGTCCCATGGAATTGAATGACTGATATTTTTTTTTGATCCTTTCAAGTCAAGTATACTGATTGTTATTGGAAATCGAAAAGGCCATGGTAAAATAGCGTCGAATTCTCCCGGTAGAATTATGAATGATATCGACAGATAACTCTTTTCATTCTGTTCATCAACACATATTCCAAAACTAAGTGCTAAATTGTATCCACTTTGGGATGTGTGAACCGGTTCAGATTGTACTGTTTGTCCATCAATAATTAATGAATCAAGATTGACTTTGCACGTATGTGTATTATCCAATGATAATAGCTTTGGACCTGCAATCGGCTTTGACTTCATATTACCGAGAAGTTTATCCATGTTGACCAACATTTGATAGCAATTCTCTGTGAGTTTTGTGTTTTTATCAGACGATTCTTTAATCTTTACAGATTCTGCTCGAACTTCGTTAATTTTTGCTTCATGTTGTTGTCGTTCTGAAGTAAGACGAGCACAATTCTGTATTATTGGGTCTATATCTTGAACGATTAACTTAATTCTTTCTATGAAAGCTGTTAGCATATGCGTATACTGTTCGTCAAAGAATGGTTGTATCACTAATTGCGCTTGCCTCTGCGAAGTTTTTGGAAATAGTTTTTTAATAAACAATATCAGACATTGCTGATGTTGATTAGTTAAATAATGTTGATATATTTCATCATACCTCACCTATAAGTAAATAAACATAACATATATAAATATGTTTCTTTGTTAATCCTCAATGATTTAAACCAAAGAAATCAAAAACAATCTTTTAAAAATAAATTCAATGGTTTAAAATTAAGAAATCTTAAATATAAAATCGAATTTTACGAGATAGAATGTTCTTTAGAATAATGTAGTCAAGTAATAAATACCTCTTTGGAACATCCTAGAATATCGAGTGGACAACAGACAATTCGTCTTTTGCAGTTTTCTACTCGATGCTTCTCAAGTTGTTGCGGAAAAATGAATTTTTCTTCACAATTTTCACATGCAATGTCACAATGTTCGGCCAAATGCGTCTGAAATATAAACATATTTTTATAGGCAAAAATTATTCATACGAGAAGCTCTACCATTAAGTCTATGAAAAGTCCAAACCATTTGTCATTGCATCTAGGGCATTGTATCCGTAGGTCTTGGAGTTCTCGTCTGAACCCTTTATCATATCTGGCCTAAATATTCAATTTTAATATAGTATATAAAGTAAAACAAGTTTTTATTTTTATTTTACGGTAGGTATTCCTGGCTCCGCACAACACGGACATTGAGATAATTGTTGAAGTCTAGAAATGGAAATTTTTATTACATTTAGTTAGATAAATAAGCCGACAATGTTACTTTGATTTTCCGCAAGTCTCACAAATGCGGAAACCGCAACAAATGAGTTGCATTGGTGGGAAGATCACGCTGTAACATAGACAACACAAAAGCCTTTCCGTTACCTCGTGCAACCAAAAGATGGAGACATTTTTATTTGCTGTGTTTTTGTCCATTTTTCCTCGAAGTCTTTTAAAGAATTCTAAGTCCAATTGGTTGGCTTTCTCCTAAAAAAATAATAGTTAATAGAGAAATACAGAAAAACCTGTTTTTCTAGAGAACAGTAGGGTGAGGATACGGTTATGGGCATGAGTCTATGGGTGAAACGAAAATCGACATCCACACGCACACCTACAGTCAATGTAGCATTCATACTCATACCCACACTCACCATTTTCTTTCTTTTATAATCTCTTTTTTGCTGCATAATTATACTTGTACTTCCTCAAATTATGAAAATTTACCAGTAAAAACACGTCCTAGCTCATGCTTATTTCTACTGATGAATTTCACTATCAAAAGATTTTAATTGAATAAGCGAAATATTTTTGCTACAATCTCTACTCGATGAAAAACTATGTCAAATACAATCATTCATTTTTTTGTTGAACTTACCAGTCCATTAGCTTGAAAATATTCTTTCTGCATCTGATAAAATCGCATTTAAGCGGAAAAAAAATTATCAAATAATTTCACCATGAAATCGTAAGAACAGTGGTCATTTCATAAGTTTTAATCCCATTTTTCTTCTATATTTTCGGTATTGAAAGGTGCAGAGATACTCTACATATATATATATATTTCAATAGTAACATCTACGATATGAATCAAAAACAAATGGATTGAATTTACAGAAATGATACAAAAGAACTATATCGATAATAATATTTGCAAAATTATTTTTTATTTCTTCTCTGTCAAAAAAAAAATATCCACCATTTTTTCACTCGCTGTGAGTCATATCTATCGTTCTGTACTTATTATATGCCTTTCAGATCAAAGAATATTATGACTGACATGTATACTTTAGAAATGTAGCATGTGGATGTAAAGTGGGACATTATTTTCATCGGCAACAATTCCCACACCTTTCAGATGTACATACCACTACAACATTTCCCTAACCTGCATCGCAAATAAGAAGAAAAAAGCGATAGAAGTGGCTTGCAGCATGGGAACGCGTAACGAACTTCTATTTCTTTTTACATCTGATACCTAAGGAATAAAAAAAATGCCTTTGACAAAATTTTTATTGATATAGTTCTCTTGTTGGATTCATAAGAATCCAATTCGATTCTATTTTTTGATTGATAGGATAGATTTGACTCCTGAAATATAATTATATATTTCAATATTTCTCCACTATTCAATGCGACCAAGATAGATTATAAATTGAAATAGAATTGATATTTATGAAACATTTTTTAGAGAAATTTCATTTACTAAATAAATTCAATTTCATATTTATCATTAAGTTCAGTTTCTATTAATCAATAAATCGATTATAATTACTACTGGATGTTAAATTAATATTTACCTATTTATAATATGAAAACTTATTGATGAATCTCGTTCTCTTTTATCAGTTCATTCGGTTTATATTAAGATTAAATATATATCCCTATGTAGCACATTTATCTAATCATTTCTCTGCTTCCTTTATCCTTTTTCTAAAATTACAACAAAAGATGAATAAATGAGGGTTCAGTTGTTTTGTATTGCAGTCTTCTCATTCCTTTCTACTATTAGAAAAATAAAACTAGTAAAGGAGCATAGCTAGACGTGTTTTAGAAATGGGTGCATATACATATAATTAATCTTAAAATAAAGTGATTCAACCGACAATAGAAAAATAAATCTTAAATTAATCTTCAATTTTAATTATAGTTTAAATATAATAAATAAATTTATTTATATGAAGGTCATTTAATAATTAAATGACATCTATAATGACCATATTTAATATATCCTAGATTTATACTTTCTATTTAATTTATATTTTACTTTTACTTCCAAGTAAGTATTGTTTATCTAACACTATCAACGGTACTCACAAGGAAGAGTGTGCTGTATATATCATGACTCATCAACAAAAAAACAAAACATGGATCGGTGATCAATATAGTAAAATAAGAAGATAGATATATAAAACAAGGAAGTAGACTTACTGTAGTAAAGAAAATTATTATGTGTAACTGTCTTGAGCAAAGCATGCAATAATAATAAATGTTAGCTTTCGAAATGACTTTGTTTTCATTGGTTGGTATGTTGGAAAAAACCTATGTTTGGAGGATGAATCATTCATTCCTTGTGTCACTATGCCTATAAACCGAATGCAAAATTTGATTTCAAGACTGAAAACAACATATGTTTTTTGTAATGTTGGAAACTTTCCTCAAGTGAAATTGAGAAACCCCTTACATTTTCAAAGCGAAAATTCTTGTTCATAAATAGAAAAAAAAATTCATTTTTCTCTTTCAAAAAATATACGTGGACAAAAAAGCAATTATAAAAGAAAGTTTCCAACATGTGTGAGTATTTTACCAGCCACTATAAAGTCATGAAATATCTTAATTTATGGTTGAAATATTTTTTCTCAAGTGAGTGAGGGAGGGGTGAAGACAGAACCATCAACTCCATCTACATCTTTTCTGTACCATTAACATTAAAAAGAAAAGAATGTATATATAAGCCAATAAGAACATGAATTGTGTGTCTGAAGTAACGATTTTTCAACAAGATGGATTCTGTATCGGAAAGTCAACAAATAATTTTTATTAAATATCATTTTAATTTATAAATTTTATTACTTTTATCTTTATTTCGCCTCAAATTAATTTTATTTTTATTTCAAATTATTTTCTATCAAACTATTTAAATTACATTATTTTATTGAATTATTTTAACAATTCTATTTACTAAATAAATTACTAGATGGAGGAAAAATATCTTCTAAATTTTTTAATAATAATATATTCTTTCTCAATTGTTCGTAATGATAAAGTAGAGAGTATTGTCCTTGCTTTCTCATTATTTAAGAATCAATTGAAATTACTTTTTGAAGAAAATAAACTCAAATTCAACCCAATTTGGAGATTATTTTCATGTGTATCAAATCATTTTTTTGACTTTGACACGAGTCTGATTAGCAAAAACTTTAGGTCTAAACCTAGAACCTTACTTGCGAGGGTGTCGGTGTGGGTGGGTTTGACTCTAGTTTCACGTACACCCATACCCGCTTTACCATCAAGTTTATGAAAAGTCCAAACCGTTGATCATTTCCTCTAGGGTATTGTATTGATAGTTCTTGAAGTTCTCGTCTGGAGTCCTTATAATCTCTAGTCTAAATATTCAATTTTAATATACTATATAAAGTCTAACGAGTTTTGATTATTGATTTTACCCCAGATGCTCCTAGTTCCACATTGAATGAGCATTGGGATGATTGTTGAAGTCTACAAGCGGAAATTTTTATCAGATTTAGCTAGATGAATAAGCAAACGAGTTTACTTTGATTTTCCGCAAGCTTCAGAAATGTGTTGTGCGCGACAAATGATTTGTACAGGTGGAAAGAGCACGGCGTAACATAGACGCCGCCAAAACCTTTCATCTTGTTGGTTCGCCCAATAGATTGAGACAGTTTTATCTGCTGGTTGTTTCTTCATTTTTCCTCAGAGTTTCAAAAATTCTATGTTCAATTGATTGGTTTATTCCTGAAACCTGAGCAGTTGGTTAATGCAGAAACAACGAAAAACTAGTGTTTTTAGAGAACCGTAACTTGTTCAAAAACATCAAAGAAAAATGTGGTTGCATTCAAGTAATTTAAGATAAGTTTTCGCCTACTCACTTACATTACCATCCTTGAGGCGTGGGTGCGAGTGCCTACATCAAGACGATCATCCACACCCACGTCCTTACACTCAGAGAGATACTATGTAAATCCCTACGCAGCACTCACACCTTGTAACATCTGATGAATCTCTGATATATTTTTTGAATTATTTTATATTTCATGTTTCTGAACACTTGGT